GATTGGTTATCATATTATTATTTAAAAGTTATGTTGTGCGTCATTTCTTACAATAAATTGACAATTCTTTTCGAAAAAAACTTTCATTTCGTAACCGGTCATTTGGTTAGTTTGAAATGCCGGTATGTTTAATGTTAATGCATCCACCATAGCTCGGACCTGGGATTGTCAAACTATCATTTGTTTCAGTCTTTGCAGAACTCTTTCAATGGAGTTAAGTCAGTTTCAAAAGAGGTCTGTGAAAACTACGTGTCATAATTTTTTAACCAGAAACCACAGAAGTTCTGTAGCGACGGGATTATGGTTTTGCTGAAAAAATGGCAGAAGGTCATCGAATAAAATTGGGCATATGTGGTTTCATGTTTTTTTGCAATAATAACAATGTCTCAATTTTGACCTCCAAAGGCTTAATATTTTTTAGACAACCTGATGTGTATCATCAATAATATACATATAAAGATTTAACACTAAACCTACCGACACTTTTTATATACCTATTCTTATCGTGCCAAAATGACCGATTATTCATCAAAATCCGAACACTCTTCATCTATGTTGTTTATTTTTTTTAATAACGTTATAATATTTTTGGAACGCCTTGACATTTTTAGGGTAAATATTCACCACAGAATAATGCACTATTTACGAAATACGAAATTTACGTCAAAGTATTGCTGGTTTACTTTTTCTTTCTTCAAACTTATAACAAGGAAAGGAAATTTTTTAGAACCTATATACTTTGATGTTATAAAATTGCACTGTGTCATACAAAAATATAACATGTAAATATTATATTTTCTCGACCGATCAAATTTACCGATCGCGTAGGACGGGCTACATATATTTCTCGGGGGGGAAAAAAATAAAACGAGAAGTAAATATTGAAAAATACATCGTATGTATATTTTTAGGAAAGTCGTAAAGGTTGATACCGATGTGATAATGTTTAAATATGTGAAAGTTGTATAAAAGTTTGGAAACGGTCAATTTGACTGGTCGTGGTAGGTTTAGTTAACAGACATATAATGATGCAAAGTAATAGTAAAACTAACGGAGTTCCTCCACGAGGATACGCGTGAGTTTTGTTGAAATATTTTTCTGATTCTGTCGATTCTGAGTGATTAATTCTGATTGATCGATTCGTTCGTTCTGACTGACTCCTTCTGGTATGCGGCAGCCCGCGAGTTTGTTCTTATTTGAATCTGATTGGTTAGTCAATCATGCCTAGTCGTTTTGATCGTTTGCTGGAAATCATTCGAAAAAGGCAATAAATGGCATCGATGAAATGGTTGAAATTAACCATTTCGGTTTAACAACAAACAAATAGGCTCGCGGGTCGGTGCGACGCTTCTAAGTCCTGGTTCCGTTAAAACTTAGGTAAAAGTATGTAAAAAGACATTCAACGGAACCACGATCCATAGGCGTGGATGTCTTTAATTTCTTGCAATAACAGGTATAATAATTTATAAAGAATATATGTCTTTATTCATTAGAAAAAAATTGAAATTTTTTAAAAAGAAGGCATAATTTAATTTTCGTAAAAAAAAAGATTCAAGAAAATTTTCACACAAATTTCAACCAATCTTTAATATCTTTTGTTGTTTATAATTTAGTACTTGAATAAAAAAGGTTGATTTCTCTTTTAAAGTAAAAAACGGGTACGAATAAATTATGGCTAAATTCTTAGGTAAATTTAATGAATATTTATACAAACTTTCATCAAAATCGACATCAGTCATCGTAATTGGAAGGATTCGTGAGTTCATTAATAATATATATTTAATAACATTTAACTATAATATGATTAGAGCCTGGGTCCGCGTGGGAAGCTAAAGTTGTTAATAACTTGAAAGCTTAAAGAGATACATTAGTTTTCCAAAAATGATTCGATGAAATTTTTCACACTCACGAGTCTTTTCTTTGGAATGCGCAATAACCGCAGTTCGACCGCATCACACTATATGCTCGTTCAAGTTCGTTCGTTCGCACCATATCATGCTCAACTGGCCATGACAAAATGAACGTAGAAGAAAGTTTTTTGTTAAAAGTGAAAACTCAATTTCCGCCGCTCTCATTTTTATAAACGTAACGTTAATGATTTAAATATGTAAAGAATTCCTGATAGACACTTTTCAGATTAAAAGAATCTTCCTATCCTTTAGTTTATATAAACACCTACTATGTAGTATCAACATAATTGATATTCAATGGTCAGTCCATCTAATTTTAATTCGCTGGATTTTTTTGAAGTATATTAAAAAATTAAGTTTATATAGGGATATCATTCCATAGATTTTAATTCGCAATGTTATTTAAGGATTAGACTGCAAAAAGTTTTCGTTACCAATGCTTGATTCTTCGAGTATCTTTTCAACATCGTAATATTCCCGTGATAATTACTTTCAGAACAGGAAACTCGTATTTTGTAGACAACTCTCTGTTTCCACTTGCGGGAGCAAATGACAACTTTCGTGTCACGGTGGGAGTTTGGTTGAACTCCTCCCCCTTCCTCCCCCTTCCAAAAAGAAAGAAGAAAAAAACAGATGCGTGACAAGGTCGGACAGAATAAAAACGCAAGTTCAAGGTTTCAAAGACTGATTCTTTTATTTTTTTTAGGCTATCTTTATATGAATCATTATGGTAGCTAATAGTGGGGTCAGTCTCAATACAATATTCATTTGAGGAAAATACTCTTAAAAACAATTTACGATAGTTTTTTCCTCAAAGAAACACATACTCTGATATTTATTTATTTTATCTGATTATATTTAAATTTTTATTAGATAATTTTATAACACTGTTGTATCATCGCAATGGTGTGAGAAAATCAAAAAATATATTCAAGTCAAGTTGATAATGGGATTAGAATTGGTTCTCGAAAATACGAGCAATATAAGAAGATCAGAATTTCCAAGATTTTGAGAATCTGAGTTATATTTCGAGATGAATTTCATTAAATACGAGCACGAATTGCAAACGTTTACAAACAACTTTATGAAGTTTACTTTAATTCTAATATACATAATACGTGTACACGCAATATTCTTAAATCTACAGGAGAAGATTAATTAACTCGTCTTAACTTCAGTTCCTCATCTTTTAAATTAATTTATTTCTAAAGTTTTTATTTTTTAATCCGTTCCTTGTGCATCTATTTGACGCACTTAAATGTGTATGAAATATGTAAGATCACGAAATCTACTATATTTAAGAAGTTCTACGCAATTAGATAAAAATTTAGTCTATTTAATGTTAATAAAATTTAACTATTTATCTTTTCTATCTATTCTTAATTATTTATTTTTCCATCGTAGGTATCCATTTTTTATTACTATCTCAATTTGTTGATACCAGAGAGAAATTACATTGGAAAAATGAGGAACGGGTTAAAAAATGAATTGTATCATATGATAATTAATTGAAATCAAGTTCTGTTTATTATTTTTTAATTCCATAATTATAAAAAATTTTAGTTAAACGGTGATCCATACATTTTGTAGCTTGAAAACAGTTACAACAGAAAGAACAAGATTATTATTAGAAGATCTAGAAAATTATCTTTCTTACAACTCGATAGTGAATATTGTTTATTTAATATATTATTTTCTATATTTTATTTTATTTTATACATATTTTATAATTCTTTATTAAAAAATTCGAAAACGAATCAATGAGTTTAGTTCACAGTTGTATTTAAAAAAATTTGTTCCAGATGATCATAGGACTTGAAAAATCCCAATATTTTTATGTCACGAGACATATGTACTTCCGAAAACTCAATTTGAATTCTTGATCCGATGTAAGTATTGAGCCCTTGGACATCTATTATATGTTCAAAACATTGATTACAAAAATTGTGGGAAAAAATATTAACGAAATATTGCGAAATAAAAATAAACTGAAGTATTCAGGCTACAAAATTTTTCTTTTTAATATGTATTTTCAAGAATACTTTAAATCGCTAGAAACGAAAATGATGGTCATTTTTCACGGAAATGAACGGTTTTGAAAATTCAATCGGATGAACTTGTAGCTGGATTGCAAAAATTTCATCCCAATATGTGTTTCGGAGGTATCTTAGATCGCTAAAAATGAAAATGATAGTCATTTGTGATATAAATAAATGTATTTGAAGTAACGACCAGCTTCTCTTAAGGTCTCCATAAACGTTAAAACATGCTACGATGCATGCATCACTGATGCAGGAATAGACTTCTAGCATTAGTTGGACAAAGAAATCCGTTTCGGATTGTTGTCTTATTCTTAAAATTGAATGGAGTCTATTAATAATATAATTAAATAAATTCTTTGTTTTAATAGAAAATTTTTATTACAAAAAGATTAATCATAACAATTTCT